GGGGGGGACGGGGAGAGGGAAAGGGCAAAGCTCAAAGCGACACGCACCCGGTACTGGTGGAAGCCCGCGCGCTCAGGGATGATGTCGAAGCTGAACGGGGTCTTCGACACGCCGGAGAGGGTGGCCGAGTTCTCGGAGGACCCACGCTGGCCCGAGGGATTGGGGCTGGTGAAGAAGTAGTTCAACTTCCAGGGAGCCTCACCGGTGAAGGACAGCTCAGCCAGGGGGATGCGCTGGCCGACACAGGCCGAGGTAGTCAGCTGCCGAACCGTCAGAGCCGGCGGCTCGACCAGCAGGATGTTACAAGCGCTGGGCCGACCGCCGATGGCGGGGTGCTTGCCGGTGCTGCCTTCCGGCGAAGCGCTGGCCAGGACGCCCTGGCAAATGTTGTCCCGAACGCCGAGCTAACAAGCAGACAAGGAACCATGAGGGGAGGGGGAACAGGAAGTTAGCCTCGGATTGGGGGGGGGGGAGGAGATCCAACAGAAGCATCAAGTGGAAAGGAGGAGACATGTAACAAAATAGGGCAGGACATGCCGACCGGGTGGACAAACGGGGACAAAGAGAGAGAGAGAGAGAGAGAGAGAGAGAGAGAAGAAGAGAAAGAAGGAGATGCCACGCACCAGCTCATAGAGACCCGATGTCTCAAGGGGAATCCGATAGGAGCTACCCCGGAGGCCGGAGACAACAACAGGCTCGGCACGACCCGGGGCCCGGTACGTCAGCGTGTAGGGAGCGGTGCCGCCGGCGAAGCGCACCACCAGATGCGAACCACGGCCGGCACGCACAACACCACCGGCCGGAACCCCGGCGCTGGCTGACCATTCGTCCGCGGTGTTGCCAGCACCGCCGGTGCCGCCGACGCCGCCGACAACCTCACAGGTCATGGCTGCCGTGACATGGCTGACCGTGATGACACGCTCCTGGCGGAGCTCGCGCGTGCAGCCAAAGGCATCGGTCACCGACAACAGGCGGATCGTATACCGCCCGGTGTGGCTGAAGGCCTCAACCCGAACATCGACCGACGGCCCGGCCAGGTCCTCCAGACGATACTCCCGCTGGCGCCCATCGAAGGACACCAGCGAGTAGGTCAGAGCGAAGGGGCTGCTGCCCTCCAGTCGCACGGGCAGCGTCAACCCCTGGCCCAGGCACCGATGAATGGGCTGGGCAGGGGTGCCAAGGGCCCCTTGCTGCTGGTCGCCGACTGGCAAGTCCTCGAAGAAGGCGCGACCGGCCTCGCGGAACACCTGGCTAAAGGAGTACGGGCCACTGTCGGTGGAACCGCCGACGGGCGCATCGGCCGATGCGTCGGCCAAGCCCTGCAGCGGAACACCCCGGTAGTAGCTGTCGCTGATGGACAAGAAGACAACCTCATGCCGGCCGGCCACATCGACCGGCATGCGGAACTGGTAGGGAGAGGAGTTGATGGCCAGGCGCCGGACACCGGTGTCATAGACCGTGCCCCCGGCATCCGATTGGACACGGTCGCGGAATTCCACCTGCCAGGGACCATGACCGGTCAGATGCAGAGTGGCCGTCAGGAGGGAGTTGCCCTGATGACAACGGGCCGCCGCGGGGTCCGGCAGGCCGGCCAGCCGGAGAGTCGGCTCCGGGGCCAACTCCACGGTCAGAGTGGCCGGATACTGGACATTGCCAAAGCAGAGGGCTATAAAATGGACAGATGGAGAGCAGCGGGAGTCAGGGCCATGGGTCCATGGATTGCGGCTGTCCGGCAAAGCGGCGAAGAGAGAGGGCGAGGAGGGGCCCGAGAGGGGGGGGGGGGGGGAAGGGGGAAGCCAAGGGGAAGACGGAAAACCCGGAATACCGCACGCACCATCGGCCACAGAGGCGATCTTGTACTCGCCCGGCTCCGACAGGACGAAGGTGTGCAGGTGCCCGGCGGCCGGCGGCTTTTCGAACATGTGGCGCTTGAGCTCGCCATCGGGGAACTGGATGTCCACGGCCACAGGGTAGCGGGCCTCCAGCTGAAGGGGAATGCGCGTCGGAGTGGTCCGGCTAATGATGATCGGCTTCTCCGGCTGCAGGGAGTCGGCCAGTTGAACGGTCGGCCGCGAGTAAGCCAGCGCGGAAACGGTAGGCGGAGGCACTGACGCCCGGACCGACGAGGGGACCGACTGAAGAGACAATCGCAAGAGAGGGCAATCAAGGGGGAGGGGTGTTAACGGAAGAGGAAGATGCGGAGGGAAAAACCGGCGAGGGGGGCGGAGAAGCAGAGAGAGAGAGAGAGAGAGAGAGAGAGGAAGCCGAATGGCGTCTGGAGAGGAGGCGGATGAGGGCACGAACCGAAAACTCATCCGCAATGTAGACCGACGTCATGTTGCGCGCGTCAGCCACGGAGACAACACGCCACACCGAGCGGCCATCATTCTCCAGAGGCCCAAGCGGCAGACGGAAATAGAAGCGATCCAGCTGCGGAGAATTGGCCGGCGGAAGCACAACAGTGGGCACACCGTCGGGGCCAGCAGCACCGGCGCCGGCCAGCAGGGCCGGAGCCGCTTCCTCGGGGGCGTCATCCACCAGCGACCCGAGCTCCTCACCCTGAAGAGCATCATCGGCCCCCAGACGAACGGTCTGTCGGGTGGAAGGCCCGGCATTGTTGTGCGCACGCTCGAGGGACACCGTGAAGGGGGCCTCTCCGGTCAGGCGCAGGAAGACCGAAATGCTGTTGCCGATGCAGGTTTCCAGCGGCTCGTCTCGGAGGAAGGCCGCGGACGGTGGCCGGGGCGGCAGCCCGGGCAGGGTCACCGGCGGGACGACCACTTGGACGGTTTCATCGCCGACAATACCCTGAACCGGTCCCCGACCAAAAAGGAGGCCAAGGGGGGGGGGGGGGGCGAAGAGCGGGGTGGGTAGCATGATGATGTGAGCGAGGCTGGCAGCAAGCGACCACAAGCTGACAGGAGGGCAGACAGGGAGAAAGAGGGGCGCCGAGAAAAAGGAAGAGGGGGAGAGAGATTTGGCGGACCTTCAGACCGCGCTGATCGGTGACACTCAGCAGAGTGTACAGACCGGTGGTTGGTGCGTCGAGGAAATAGTTCTCCGCCTCGGAAATGGTGATGGTCTTCTCGGTGAGAGTGCGCGGGTAGAGGGTAAACTGCGCGAGGTCGAAAACACCGGGCCTGCATGCCGGGAGGATGCCCGAGAGGATGGAGGGCAGATACGACAGGACGAATGGGAAAGAGGAACGGGGGGGGGGGGGGGAGACAGACCGAGCAAGAGAAGAAGGCGCCGGAGTCAGAAGCGAGCTTCAAAAAGGCAGGGTGCCATAGGGGGGGGGGAGAGAAGAATATACACAAAAGAGAAGCTGAACGCACGGCAGCGGCTCCACACGGAAGGTCAAGGTCCAAGGGGCCACACCATCAAGGTACAGGGGGATGACCTGACGTCCGGGGGAGAAGGGGAACTTGCTGATCGGCCGCTGGTGGTTGTTGACCGCCTTGAAACGCGCACGGGGCAGGGCCACATGGTGCAGGCGATAGACACCGGGGAAGAGCTGCGACTGGCTATGCAGCAGCGAGGAGTCCAGCAGCAGCGAATTGCTTGCCGAGGCGCCGGCCGGGGCCATCCCCTCGGAGAGCTCGTCACCGAAGACTGGCAGATGCGAGTGGCGCAAGAAGCAGGGCGTTAGCCAGGGAAGAAGCGCGCGCGCGCGGGGAGGGGGGGGAGGAAGAGGGGAGAAAGGGCACAAAACACATTGAATGCCGGCCATTAAGGCAGAGCGCACCCTCAACCATCACCGGGTTATGCGGAGCAGCCAGGTGATGATGCTCACCACCGGTCGGGGAGGCGGGTGCACGATCCGATCGAGAGGGAATCCCCGGACCAGCGGGGCCTGACACCGAGAGCGATTGGCCACCAGTGCCGGAGGTGGGCGGAGAGGTCGGGCCACCGGAGCCCGACACTGACAGATGTGAGCCCCCATGGTTCGGGGCATTGCGATAGCCCGACGAAGAGGCCGGCGGCATGGGGGTCACGCCACAGCGGGACCCACTCCGACGACCGGCCAAATGCTGGACCTGCGACAGGAACCCACTGCCGGGGAAGCCCCCCTGGGCATTGCCACACTGATGATGGTGGTGCAGCGAGCCGAGGGAGCTGCTGACGAAGAACCCCGGGAAGAGACAGCCAACATTGCCGACCGGGAAGGCCAGGAGGAAAACCGCGGCAAAGGCCGCAGACAGCAGGAACAGGAAGACACAGACCCACGGCCGGAGGAGGAACCGACGAGAAAGCTCCAGGCAAATGTAGAGATTGGCCAGGCTGGCGAACAGGAAAGCCAGCCACTGTGGAGAACTGCGTGGATGGACGAAGTGGCAAGCAGGTTCGCGAGAAAGGGGAGACACAGGTCAGAGAGCCGCAGAGCAGGGGGGGGGGGAATGAGTGACACGCCGGGGGGGAGGGATGGAGAAGGGAAATGGCCAAATGGAGGCAGCGCATATGGGCCGGCGCTGAGATACGGACCAGGTGGAGGCAAAGATCGTCCCCGAGAGGACAAGAACCAGGACCTGAACAAGCAGGAGACAGAACAGAAGGAACTTACGCGTGGAGGAGGCCTCCGCGGCAAGACGAGCGTGATTGGATACGCGCGCGGCCGGAGCAGCAACAGTCGCCGTCCCGGGAGCCATTGCTTCAAATTGACTCCGGCTGAAGTTCATTTGGGGGGACGGATGGCCGGCGCCAAAGCTCGGCGCCACAGGGCGACGCTGCATTCTGGCGGCTGTGCGACAAGGCCGTGGGGGGGGGGGGGGATCAGCAGACGGCAGGAGAAGTGGAAATGCACGGACAGAGGGGGAGGGGAACAAGGTTGAGAGAAGCAGCAGCATGGGCAGCATACCGGGCGGAAGAGGACGGCAGGGACCCTCGGCTCGTGGGCGGCCTGGGCGCGGCGAGGGCGGGGAGTGGCGCTCGTCTCTCACAGGGGTGGGGCCTCTTGCTCGGCGACTGGGTGGGAGAAGTCAAGAGGAAAGGGGGAGAGACTACAGGAAAGCGGTAACGGCGAGGAGGGCGAGTGAGGGGGAGGGAGGTTGTGTTGGGCAGTGGCTCTTGGTGGGAGAGCCCCTTCTCTTGCGCTTGGGCACATTTAGAGTGGTGCCTAGGGGACGCATGCCGGGGAATGTTGCGTGCGACAAGGAAACGCGAAGAGGGGGAAGGGGGAAGGGGGACGCAATACGTACTCCTATTCCATGCCCACACCCTACAGCTGGCTCAGCTCACTCTCTTCCCAGACAGGCTTTCGACTTACCACGCCCCAGCCACAAAGAAAACGCGAGGCGCGGACAGGGAAGAGGTGCCAGTAACTGGTCCCCCCGGGCATGGAGGGGGTGCATCGACCGTGGATTGGTAGTTGAATGTGGCCGAGTGGCCGGAAAAAAATGGAAAAGACGAAGTCCCCGGCCCACGCTTCGCGGCCCCCGCCCCCCCTCCCTTGACCCCTTGGGTTCCTTGGGGCCAGCATGCCCTGCGAAACCGGCAGAGAGCACAGGCAGCAACAGGCCGGCACCCAAGCGCCGAGAAATACCCAAGAGACCAGCAGGCCCGGGGGGGACTAGATGCACACGATGGGGCCCTCTCGGATGCCAACGCCTCGTCCTTCCTCGTGATTCGCGAGTCCCGGTGCATGTGGAATGTCGTTCCTTGGGGCGTGAGCGCAACGGTTTGTGGGCGTGATATGCGGGGCAGCTGGCCGTTGGCATATGTCGCTAACTCCCTGGTCATCGTGGGGAGAGGGGGCATAGGTGGAAGAGAGGCGGGAAAGGGAGGCAGGTGGAATCCCCTGGGGGCTGGTTGGTTGGACGCCAAGGGGGGGGAGGTCAGGGCAACAGACTTCCGGGGAGTGGGACGGGCACGCTGGGGTCGGGGGGGGAGGGGGGAGGGGGGCGCAGACGCCACGGTGCGATGGATCACGATCCTCCTGGCTGCCTGCTGGGATCGGCCTTTACGTTGGAGGGGAGGGGGGGGGGGAGGACAGTCCCAACCAATGAACCATTTACTTGCATTAATCAACACACTG